GGATGGGGGGGCAGACGAGGGCAGGACTTTTTGGCTGTCGGCGAGGGCAACACCGGTAGAGAAGCCCAGTTACCTTCGCCTAAAGGAAGTGGCCTGCAGTACGCTATTTACTCGGAAACAAGCCCCCGCTAAAACGCCTTGGATCAATGCCCCTCAAGCGACGCCGCCTGGGATTGCCGACCGGAGCGGCGGGTTTTGCAGCCCGTTCCCCTCCGTGCCCTTTATTGGGAAGCGAGCCCCTCCCACCCGTTTCAAGCAGAATCGTTTTATTTCCAGATTTATATGGCGCGGTTCACTCCCCGCGCCCATGCCAAGCGTACCACTACGTCGATGATAACTGTTTCACGTGAATCCTCCCTAGGCTTTCCATTTTCTGTGAGGGGAAAAAGCAACTAAACGCCATAAAGTCATTTAAAATGGTGTCAATATTACAAAGGTGAAGCAGATAGGTACATAGTGAAGAGAATGTAAAATGTCTTAATGGCTTATTTTGTATATTTGACCCACCTCACAGCGTTGTTGTGAGGATAAAGTAGGAACCGTGTACAGTACTCCACCTTGAGCTCCCTGGAGGAAGTGTGGGGTATTAAATACATAATAATGAATAATTATATGGTGTCAATTCTAACAAATGGCAACTTTCCAGGGTTTTCTAAGGCTGGAGGCATAGACCGGTTGAAGATGAATAAACAAGTTCAGTCCACACAAGACAGGTGCTCCTGGTTTGTCAAAAGGCACATCTGGGAATAGAATTTCAACCTGTCCTGGATGGGCTACGTTTCCCCTGAAAACACCAGTTGCCAGCTTGGGTGTGTTCCTGGATCAGCAGTTCTAGGTGGTGGCCAGGAATGCATTTGGGCACTTAAAATTAGCTGCACCTGTTGTTGGAGAAGTCTGCTCTGACCTGGGTGACATATGCCTTATACCGTGTTTCCCTAAATATAAAACAGCGTCTTATATTAATTTTTGCTCCAAAAAAAGCAGTAGGGCTTATTTTCATGGGATGTTTTATTTTTGTCGTGTACAACAATACATTTATTCAAATACAGTACAGTCATGTCATCTGGTTGCTGCACAATGGTGGAGGGTGGGGTTTCATTTAACTAGGGCTTATTTTTGGGATAGGGATTATATTACAAACATCTGAAAAATCATATAAGGGCTTATTTTCAAGTTAGGTCTTATTTTCGGGAAAACAGAGTAGTTGCATTGCAGCTAAATTATTGTAATGTGCTCTGTGTGGGGGGCTGCCTTTGGAAAATGTTTGGTATGTGGTTCAAAACTACTGTAAAGACTACATCTTCCTTTAGGAATCTGCTTGCATTTTAAAATCTTCAGGGAAGGCTTTTCTTTCCATTCTGTCCCCCCCAGGTGCATTTGTGAGGGCAGGGAGAGGATCTTTTCTGTTGCACCCAAGTTATGGAACACCCTCTTTGCTGGCCTTCCATAAACAGGCAAATACCTTTCTCTTTAGGCTGGCTTTTTCTCAGTAACTGGCTACCTACCTTCCAATTTTAATGTTGTTTGTTTTAATATTGTAAACCACCTTGGTTCCTTCTAAACAATAAGGCAGAATATAACTATTTTAAAAAATAAATAATAGAGGACTCAAGTGTTTTACCAGCATCTCCCTGTGCAGGACTAGCATGCATAGGCTAGCTCTTGTCACAGGAGGCACAGGGAAGAACCAAATTCCCAGCCTCTAGCCCTTCAGCCAGATATAACTCATGGAACTATACAAACATGAAAATGCTGTTGAAGTACTGGTTTATAGTAGAAATGGATGCTATGAGTTATCATAAGCATGTAAACTCTTAGATTGCAACACATTTTATATTAAGATCCACATTATATAAATAATATCTATCTGTGTTAATAATGTAAGTTTGCAGTTTTGGCCCCAGAGTCTCATGAGGGCTTCTATATAGTAGGTGGAAAACTGAGATCCTTAAGTCCTCAAATCAGTTTTTTATTTTGAGGGGAAAAATCTAGGGAAGAGTTGCTATTGGCTTCACTATACCTTAGTGTGAATTCCAATTATGTAGTAATTATCAGTTTTGGACCTGGAACCTCAACATCAAATCTCTATTTTGACATTAAATTCAAATTTGGGCCTGTCACTTTCTTTCACCTTAATCTAGCTCATGATTTGATGCCATGTTAAAATACGGGAATGATACAAAAAATAAGGGTGCTATTAATGTGTAATGAATGTATACATTATATTCTATGCCATAAACATAGAATATTTCCAGAATTATGTGCATCCTGTTTAGAACAAAACACAGAATAGTATATGTCAGCCTGGGGATCATGACTTCCAAGGAGGGGGTCACAAAGTGTTTTGCGGAGGTTGGGGCTCATATGTGTTGTAAGGTAAAGGTTCCCCTTGTGGGGTCACAAAGTGTTTTGCGGGGGTTGGGGCTCACCTTATATGTGTTGTAAGGTAAAGGTTCCCCTTGACAATTTGTCCAGTCATGTCCGACTCTAGGGGCCGGTGCTCATCTCCGTTTCCAACCCATAGAGCTAGTGTTTGTCCAAAGACAATCTTCTGTGTAGTTCTTGTTAAACAATTTCTTCTTTAACCTTTTGGAGTGGAATACGTATCAAAAGTTAGCATGCATGTATGTGTATGAGAAACATGCCCTTAGAGGATAAAGAAGCTTCTGCTTTCTGAGAGGATGACTACCCCATTAACAATACCTTTTATGCAAATATGGGGGGGTCACAGCTTAATTGGCTACTATAAAAGGCTGCTGTGACTTGAAAAATAAAACACTGGCATAGAACAAAGGTTTTATCTTAATGCAGAATCAGTTGAGATTAATGATGTGAATTGAATTGTAGAGCTGGAAGGAACCTCAAGGGTCATCAAGGCCAGTTCATCAAGTGGAAGCTTCTGATATGGAATTGATAATACAGGACAGGAAATCTGTTCTTCCAAGCAGCGAGTGGGCATCATGTGATTATATTGATTCATCTAATCAATATAAAATTGAGGTTAGTTGTTCAAGAGGGAACCATAAAAATATGGACTTTTTGAATTAATAAAGCCACATGGCTATGATTTCCTGCTGCAGTTCCACTACTAGCTATTTTCATAGTTATAGAGATCCTACTGCATCTCTAAAGTACATATGGTCGATACCAAGCAATTAGTAAAAATTTGATCAGTGTAGGGTTTGGTTATGAAGATACTGTTTATCAGAGCACCTTTTCCTAAGAAGATCAACTTGCAGTACCTGTTCCTTGGCCATGCTGTTATGGGTTGCCACAGTGAGAGAGTCTAAGAAGAGATCTACTGTACTAGAAATGGAACCTTGTGGCACCATCCCCATGGAATGGGCTCCCAGCAAAGCTGCGCCTGGCTTCTTCTCTCACTTTAAGCAGCAACCTTTAAGACAGGCTTGTCCAACCTGCGGCCCGTGGGCCACATGCGGCCCAGGTTGGCTCATAATGCAGCCCGGTGCAATTTTTTATTTTTAAAGAAATTCCAAAGTTTCAAGTTACACTGCCAGCGCTTGTGGCTGGGGCACATCACAATGGTAGGGGGGAGAGAGGGAAAGAAGGAAGGAGTAGGAGGGGAGGGGAGAGGGGGCTGCGTTACTGCATTGCGCCATCCCCGTCAATAGGTGGACACCCTCCTGGCCCCATAAAGCCACCGGAGTCGAAGCTGGCAGCCTCTGCTGTCTGAGATCGCAGCTGCCGATAAGCACGCTTGGAGTGGGGCTGCGGAGGACGGCTAGGGCTGCCCCCCCATGCAGCCCAAACCAAATGTATGTGTGGCTCAAACCAAATTTTCATCTTATGTGGCCCAGGGAAGGTGAAAGGTTGGACACCCCTGCTTTAAGAGGTTCCTCATGATGAGGTCTTTCCAAACTTACTAGATTTGTCTGTCTGTCTGTCTGTCTGTCTGTCTGTCTGTCTGTCTGTCTATCTATCTATCTATCTATCTATATAAATACACATTGCGGGTAACTAGTAGCAAAGCTACTACTCTGGGTGGCAAACACAACCAAACATAACAATAATAGAAAGTAATAAAAACATAGGTAAAGAAAAATTCTAAATTCTAGGACTATAATAAACATTAACCAATGGGTGCAGTGATTCAACAAGGCCATGGGTTGCCAAAAATCCACGTGGGGTGGACCAAAAGGAGAATATATTACTTGGGGTGAACTAAAAAAAGGTTTTGGAGAACAACCAGGATTTAAGTTTCCTCCAGAAACCCAAGGGGGCATGGGGTGGGGCTAATTGCACCTGTCACCACAGAGACAGCTTTATTATGGGTGGATAATTTCTGGGCTTCCCCTGGGGCGGCTAACTGGAGCATTTCCATATAAGAGGCGTGGGTGGGACAGGTAGATGTTTTAAGGGAGAGTCGCTCAGACAAGTAACAAGGTCCTAAACGGTTAAGGGCTCTAAAAGCTAACAAGCACCTTCAATTTGGCCCAGAAGTGTACAGGCAGCCAGTGTGGATATGCCATGATAGGAGTTATATTGAAATATTCTAGGAACCAACCTGGCAGCAGCATTCTGTACCAACTCCAGCTTCCAAACCACCTTCAGGGGCAGCCTCACATAGAGTGCTGCAATAGTCGATTTGCAAGATTACAAATGCATGGAACAATGTGAGGGATTTACTGTCAAGATAGGGGCAGAGGTGTGCAATGTGTCTCAGCTGGTAAAAGGCAGACTTGGCCACAATCGAGATCTGATATTCCAGTGATACTTTTAAACAAAATTATGTTCTGCCTGCTACCATTGTTATTGTTTTGACTGTAAACTGCTCAGAGTAGTGCCTATCACAAATCAAATGGTATGCAAATATAATAAATAAATCTCCATATATGAAAAGCTGTAGCCATTGACTTTTACCATTAATTTTGTTGCAAAGTACAGTTTTTATCAAGACAAAATATGACATTTCAACTCCAGCAGTATTTTATGATTATGTTCCTTAGTCATGGAGGACAGAGTAGAGACTTCTGGTTTCAATTTGAATGGATGATTACTAAAACTAGAATTAGCTATACCATTTAGGTCCTGTTCTCAAAATAGTGGCCAAACCTATATCTTCTTGCTTTCATTTCTGTAAACACCTAGAGATAGATTGTGAATGCTGTCCCTCTGCACTACATGATTCACTGCTGCTTCTGAGGGCAGACTTATCAGTGATACAATATCATGTACAGTATGTTGCATATTTAGTTACTAGGCAGGGAAACAGCTAGGTGGCACATTTGCTTTAACATTGACAATGCTTCTGTTGTTTTTATGTGCCGTCACATTTAAACCAACTTGCAGCAACTTTTTTTATTAATATTTTATTTTTAAACTACAGTACTAGGAATAAGGTAGGGAATACAAAAGGTAAAAGGAAGTGGAAGGGATAGGAAAAAGGTTTTAAGGATAGGAGAATACAGAATATACAATCATCCAATCTAGTCATATTAAGTACATGAAAAAAAAATCCCCTGAAAATAAGCCCTAATGCGTTTTTGGAGCAAAAATTAATATAAGACACTGTCTTATTTTCAGGGAAACGGGGTAGATAAATTATTACATGGCTACTGTTCCATTTGTTTTTTTCAAACACATTGAAATCACATAGGTAATTGCAAATGGAACATTTAGATTATTATGTTCAGATTCTAGTGAAAGCTTGAATCATGGAACATTTATGTGAGTTGATATTCACAAAATTACTTTGACCAGTTATAATCTCTACAAGAAATCAGCTATCCTAAATTCTAAACAATGAAGAAAGGATGCATTATTTCTACTTAACGGGCTGTTTTGCTTTTCTCATAGTAAGAACAGAGGTTGACTAAATGTTAAATGATTTTATACACCAATGCTAAGTAAAAGATCAGTTGGTGTTGAGGGTGTTTTGCTGGCAGATAGGTAGGATCCATAATAACAGAGGAATATACTCTACTCCCCACTCACAAGTCTTTAAAGGTACTGTAGCTCTATAGGGCTTGGAAACCCTCTGAAGATGTGTTTCACCTGATTGAAGAGGAAGAAAATTCTATTGCTACCACCAGAAGAACATTTGAGTCAGACCTTAATTAAAATAGAAGATCAAAGTTTTAATCAACGATTTTGACTCATCTTCAACATTTAAGTCACAGAATTAACAGCAGTTAGAATGTGGAAAATGTAAATGATCAGGGTTAGTTAATAGAGTTGAAAAGTCACATAATAAAGCTGTGTCTCCTTGCCCTGGTTGAGATGAGGGACAGAAATATGTAACACATCAGTCTGTGCAAGTTTTCAGTCGTTTTTTTGATCTACCATTTGAAAGGCAGGAAAAAGAGGAGAGGGATGTGTTGCTATGGGAACCAGGATAGTTTGGTTTGAAACAGTGTACTTCAGAAGGTGCTTAGATAAATAGCTGAAATATAGTTAAACCAACTAATTGAGTTTTCTAAGGAACTAAATACAGTGGTACCCCGCATAGCGATGATAATCCGTTCCGCAAAAATCGTTGCTATGTGGATTCGTCACTATGTGGGGCAAAAAAGCACGTTTAATGCGTTCCTATGGGCAAAAAACTCACCGTTAAGAGGAAATCCTCCATGCAGCCACCATTTTCGCTGCCCGGTAAGCGAGGAAAGCGCGCGAAAACAGTGCGGGCAGCCATTTTGGAACCGCCAATCAGCTGTTAAAAACAATGCTATGCGAAAATCGGTAAGCAAAACGCTTACCGATCATCGCAAAGCGATTTTTGGCCATTAGAAACATCGCAATGCGATCGCTTTTGCAATCGCAAAAACACATCGCTATGCGCATTCGTTGTTAAACGAATCGCTCATTATGCGGGGCACCACTGTATTAAAATTGTTTTAAAGATAATACATAAACAGACAAAGGATCTATTCAATAGAATCAAATATCTTCTACATTGTCCCATTCATAAATAATCCAAAACATCTCTTTTCTGTCAGGGACTCTGCACTCAAGTACTCATCAAACTATAAATGCTTTAAGCAATTATTCTTAGCTGCACATGGGGAATTACACCCAAAGTATCTGCTATGTATACACATTGGTATCTAAATGATATTTACAAATACACAAACACTCTATGGATTTTCTTATTATTTACAAGTGACAAATGGCTCAATTTTCTCTATTCATGAAGGCTAAAATGCTGCGCTCTCTGATTATGCCTGCAAGTTCACACGTGAGAGAAAAAAGGTATTAACCATTTTCAAATGCAAAAATATTTAATCTCTAGAAAAAGCTAGTTCATCTACATGGTTGCATCACAGCTTGATCATGAACAGAAATAAAGATAGGGCTTTGCAGATAAAAAAACCAAAAAAGAAAAGGGAAGCAGGCTTGCTTGTCAATTTGGTCTCTCTAGAAGAAACATGATTTAATTCAGTCCAGTGTCAAATCAGTCATTTTTCGCTCCGCAAATTTTTAATTATATGAAAAAAAGGAAAGCACAACACTTTGACAGACTAGTGGATTAGGAAATTTTGTCCTCTGCTACAAAGCAGCATGAAGATTCTTGTACAGAAGCTGTATTAATGCTTTAATCAGTGGTCTCCACCCTTTTCTGAACTGCGAACCGGTTAGGGGGGGCGGAGCATGCACGGGTGGGCAGGGCACACTCATGGGAAAGTGGGGTGCGCACTCACGCATGTGTGGCTGGGTGGGCTCACTCGTGTGCATGCATAGGTGGGGGCACTTGCAGATGGGTGGGGTGCACACTCGTGTATGCGTGGGTGGGCAGGGCATGCTCGTGGATGGGTGGGGTGCATATACGGGTGGGTGTGCGTGGGGGGAGTGCGTGCAGGGGGCCGAGAGATCTGTCTCTGTGGCCTGGTCCTGCCGGAGCCACAGACCGGCACTAGGCCACAGACCAGGGGTTGGGGACCCCTGCTTTAAATGACTTGGAATTTCGAAAATAGTAGCTGCATTCTAAAAGCACCCTTCCAGTTAGATTTCTCATAATTGTTTTTTTTCCCAAATAGTGGGAAAACAATATATAATTTCCCAGAACAATGGATGTCAGAATGAACATGTACTTGGCCAGTGAGACAGATTTTCAAGGGCTGAAGGAACACCCATGGCCTCCAACTAATGTTTCCTCTACTTTTCGTTCCTGCTGTGCAGGAGCCTCATCCCGTGTGTGCACGGAGGGGCAGGGCTTCATCTGAAACAGGAAATAAACAAACTAACTGCTGCTTGCCTGTGCGCAGCCCCAATGTGGCTCTGTATTTGCCTCAGAGGGAAGGTTGCATCCACAATGTATATATTTATATAATTAGTCACAACTTAAGTCTTGTTTGTTTAATTGTTTTAGTCATGCGTGAGAAACTACCATGTTTGTGGCAGTTATGACATTACTTTGTTCAACAGTTCCGTGTACAAATGGTTTCTCCTAGTGTTCCTTTCAAAAAAGGTAGATGCAGTGGAAAATCCAAAATTTCATCCTGTAAACCCTTTAATCCAAATTGTATTACTATTCACCTCTAACAGATAGCTTTGAGTATGAAGAATCTGTGGCCTCTGTGAAAAAAATTCATGCAAGCTGTGAGTCTTCATCACGTTTGTATCAGTACACACACATTTGAATTAATACAGATTTTTACCCCCAGTCTCACTTTATGTATAAAGACGGCTTGTGTTTCAACAGTAATTTTACCAGAGTGAAGCAGTCTCTATACAAGACTTCATATTAGAACAGAAAGAATTATTATCCCAAAACAAATTTTTTTAAGATTCTGAAAGCAGTTATCAGAATTCAGTTTTATTTTATTCTCCTGAATATGACTGGTAATGATTAATAATATTCATTTTCATGCCAAGGTGTGTATGCTTTTACGTTTTTTTCGGTCAAAATGGACTTTGCCTTTCATTTTAGAAATCTTATAGTATATGAAAGCAACAATTTGTATTACCAATATATAAATTTTCATCATATTTGAAGATCAAACGCTTCTTACCATTTTAAAAATTGATTTTATTGAACTAGCATTTAATATTGCTTATATGGAACTAGTATTCAGGAAGAAAGACATCTGGGTGACATTCAACATTTCAATATGAATAATTGAGAATGCTTTGCAATCTTGTTATGTGTTTATCAATTCAACATCTGACATCATAAATCATGCCAATAAGTATTGCATAACTGTACAATTTCTTTCCACATGAAACAATGCATTTAATTTAAAAAGACTAGAAAATTCTTCAAGTGCACAAGCAGCTAACAGCCATTTCATGCTCTCAAAAACAAACACTCCTAAAGGCTATAAGGTCTGTTTAGTTACACAAACTGTTGATTAGACTAGCTTACATATGTCAAGAACTTACCAGAAACAGCAGACAGTAGCTTACTTATAGCTGCTCACCAAAACAATGTACTAGCAGAATCACTCATATACTTGATACACTCAAACAACAGCATTTTACAGTTTTAGTTCATTATGTTTCTTTATAGTGCAGTGCAAGTAAAAGCAAAAATCTAACTTTTCCTGAGTTTTCATAGGATGTTAGAACCAGCCTTTCCGTTAAATTTAACATCTTTTCAACAAATTGTTCTCAAAATCCTTTAAACATCTTAACTAAACTTGATTTGAAAGAGTATGGAAATTCCTACATCTTTTGAAATGAATGGTTCAATCCTTATCTGTAGTTTGCATATATGTACAACTATGTAAGACAAGGAAGTTACATTTTCAAGAGAAGAACATCCTCTGAAAACTTTTAATCCATTTTTTAGGATGCATGTATATTACAGGTCTTAGTTCATTTTCAAAAACGAAGTAATGCCCAACGTTTTGTCACCTCACAGGAAAAACAGGAAAAAATCTTGGGAATGTACGTTATTAAAGTAGAAAGTATCTCTTAAAAATTCATCCTTGTATTGGTGACTACAGGCCACGAGTTTCTAACTCAATCTTATCCTCAGATTGTAATGGTTCAGGTTCAATTTGTGCAACAGGTGGCCGTAGGATGATTTCTGGTCCTCCCCCATAGATTGACTGCAGAAAATTCCATGTTTCCTCAGAAATCTGTCCAGAATCAGCTCCTGAAAAAATAATCTTGGTTAATTATTTTAATTTTTTAAGATACTGTGTTCAGAAATGAGAGCATTTTATTATTTGAATATGAAGGACATAAATCCAAGGCAATAACAAGCACAGCAGATTAAGTTGACAGCATTAATTGAATCAGGGCAACTGTAAAGTAAATTCAGTTTTTGCAATAGTTATTGCACATTCAGCCCAACACAATTATAATTTATGAGTATTGTTTTATTAAATTCAAAAGAAAGTCTACAAGGAGGCTTAATGAGGAATTCTACTGCCCACAAAGTTTGCTCTTTTAAAAATCTACTTTCTAGAGCATTGTCCAAACATTCTGCCTCCCACTAGAAATAATGCAGACTAGAAAGTACTTGTTTTTAAAAAGGGAAGGTTATACTTGCAGCATGTTATTATAGCAAGTGCTGTATAGTACACATGAAGGAGGCATAGTTTTCTCAACGTGGATGTTCATAGATGGTCCGTTTGCTTATTTCCTTCATCTTCAAGAACAATAAAATGCCTTGCACAAACAAGAGAAGCCTCCAAATACACAGATACTGCTGCTGTTTAAAATGGAAGCTACTAAGGCTGAACTAACATCAGGTAACAAGACTGTGCAAAAGATGCAAGGTAACGTTTAGGAAATTCTGCTTGTACTGTGAGAGAAGAGAGGGAGGCTCATGGGTCCTCCACTATGCATTCTTCAAAGCTTATATACAATTTGGAGACCTCCCAAACAAGGAAGAGAGGTAAGGCAGGAAAAAGAGAGAGAAATGTGAAGGTCAACTCCTTTTGCCCTTCCACCAGTATGGAACAGAAGGAAACAGACTATCCACGGAATGGCTAGTATGAATCTGATGCTTTGGCAGAAGTGTCATTTTTATGTGGCAATCTAATAACAGAGAAAAAGACATGACCCTACATGTGCACCACCACTGGCAGAGGAGAAAAAAACTCCACTTTGACAAGGCTCACTCAGTAGATCCATACCTTGTTTCAGAACAGCAGCACCACATTTATTGACAGCAATTCTGGCATTGTCAATTGGGCCTGGAGGATCTAATGTGACAGAAGAACTTGTTAGGATGCAAGACAATGACATTGTAAGATGGTTTGAAAGTCAATAAGGAATTCCCTTTTGTACTTTGTGTTTTCATTTTTGGCTATTTCTGAATCTTTAAAATAGCATATTATATATGTAAGGTGTTACTAGTCCCACCCTCAAAAGATCCAGAAGGTACTGTGTATATGGGAACTCTGAGAACCCAGGGGCACAATCCTGCAAACACACACAAACACACACACACACACAAAAACCTGTGTGTCTTCACCTAGGTTTTTGGGACCACAAAATGCAGCATTCACATCAGAATCAAAGAACATGAAAGATACTGGAGGCTAAAACGACCGGAAAAATCACCAGTAGCTGAACATGCCCTGAAACAAGTTGGACGTGAAATCCTATTTCAAAAGACAGAAGTACTGGACAACAGCAGCAATCATTATGTTAGACAACACAGAGAAGCTACTGAAATCCACAAACGCCAGCAGAGCTTCAACAAAAAGAAGAAAGTCTAAAACTCAACAAAGCCTTGCTCCCAGCACTGAAAAATATAGCCTGCAAAAGGTCAACAAACTCTACCCAGCCACAAGGACCAGTGATCACTGCACACAAAAGACTAGCTAAACACCAATCAATCACAGTGACAGATCATCTCCTACTTTATCACAACAATACACCCATAACAAAAAACACCCTGATCACCATAATCACCCAATCTCCTGAAAAGGACAAAAAGCTGATCCCACAACTACAAACACTCAACTAGTACTCCAGAACACAGACAGAGTTCTAACTCTTGTCCTCTGAAGATGCCAGCCACAGAGACTGGCAAAATATTGGGGGGGGGGAACCTTCAGAACATGGTCAAACAGCCCGAAAAACCTACAACAACCATTGGATCCTGGCTGTGAAAGCCTTCAAGAATACATCCTATATAACTATTACAAAGACTTTTTTAAAAAACTGCAAGTGTGTTTTTACAGTTTGACTTCAGTCTGCAAATCAGCAAGCTCCCTTTACTGGTTTGTTAACACACCACGATAACTTCCTATGCACACAGTCAAAATCTGTCTTTGATCTTGCTTTCTCTTTTTCTTCTGAGCTCATTTCTGCATTCTGCTAAAATTTTACCACAAGAATGTACTAACTGTTAAGTGCACACTATAAAAAGACATACTGTCTACTTGATATGGTTTCTGAAAGCCACTCACCGTTCTCCTTGCCTTTCACAAACCCTTCCCATTCTCTGAACCACTGCATACTGATGCAATAGAATACAGACGGGGACTCTTCCTCCTGGAATGCCTTGTTCAACTGAGAGACACAAAACAGGCTCTAAGAATACTACATTTACTTCTTAGTAAGTGCCCCTGAACCCTTTTTATCCATATTATTAGATTATATTTAGTTACAAGGGCAGATTTAAAGCAATGTGTGTATGTACCTGTGTGGGCATGCACAATGCTAGAAATCTGCCCCAAAATTGAAATATCAATACCACAGAATGAAGTCAATGTTATCTAAGAAAAATGTTATTGCAAGATATTTCTCCATCTGTGGAAGGATCTTTGATCCTGCTGCTGGAAGGGCATAAGAACAGATTATATCAATTTTCCAAGTCTCTATACTACCTCTTCTGTTATTCTAGAGCAATAGTTCCCAACCATGGCTCCCCAAATGTTGGACTACGTATAACTCACAGAAATACTAATGATGAAGGCTTCTGGGGGTTTTAGTCCAAGAATGTCTGGGGACCCAAGGGTGGAAATCACTGCTCTTAGAGGGTCACCCAAAACACCAGATTACACCAGAGACAGCCCTTTCCTATAACTGAAGTGCTCCAGAAGCAAAGTTCTGCTCATAGGTTTTCAGTATTCAAGCTAGCTGTTTAAAGAATCTGTAACATTTAAGAAATCAACACTTAACAAGGGGGGGGGGGAGATTACCCGAATAAACATTTCCAATTCTGTCTTTCTTCTTTTTTCTATTTTCTCTGCTTCCACTTGGCAGGTATGACAAACATAGAGATGATTAACAGCTGGTCCACCACCATACCTGTAATCATGGATAATTAAGGAATTTTCCATAAGTGTTTTGGAATTTTTTATGCAAAAATCTGTATTGGGCAACACAGGTTGTTTTTAGCTTGAAGTACAAATAAGATCTACAGTACTGTACTTCCCATGTAACTGATGAAATATCTTCAATGGAAATATCCTCTATAATGATAAACTATACACATATGAATGAGTCTTTGTGGAAAACCAGTTACTGATATATTTCAAACTTAAACCCCTTTTATGCATTATAAAAAAAACAGAATGTAAAGTGGAGTTATAGATACTAGGAAGTGGGACTTTAATGCATATCCAATTGCCTGCCATGAAAATTTACAAATGGGTACCTTCTTCATGAGGTGAACAGTCCCACCTGCTCCAAGTAACTGGAGGCCCAGAGGGTACCTATGGTAGAGTAGCTAAAAGTCTTCCACATGGTCAGATATCTTCTGTAAATCAAAAATCCAAACTGCCTGCCAGTCCCCTCTGTGCCCCTTGAAAACCATCTCTAGAAAACTGGGGGATACTCTGGAGCAGTACAAGTGAGCTGAAGGGCTACAGCATGGGATTTTTGAAGGATAATTTGCCTTTCTATTTGTCTATACATTTGATCAAAGCTTTAAAAAGTGCAGCCAGTAAATACTTTGTTACAGTTTTGCCTGAAAGGAATTCCTGATGACAAATTTGTTCCCAAGATGGAAATTATTCCAAAAACTTGAATTATTCTAAAGCAGATTTTTAAAAATATAATGTTCTCTATTAATGAATGGATGAACCATTGGGTAATGACTGAATAGTCAATCGATAGATTCTCTCTGTTTTACAAAGCAGGCAGAATATGAACTCAAAAAATACATGGTTTTCATTCACTACATGAAACTACTGAAATGTTGATAATTTTGCCTCTTGTCTGCAGGTTGTTGCTTTTTCATGTTATGTACTCAGGCCTGTATCGTATTGCCTATGCACAGCATGGAAGGGCAGCCAAGTCCCTTGCTCCAGCAGCCTTCCTGTCAAGTGACCAGTTGTGTGACCCTTTTCACAATCAGTGCAAGAATAAAAATGCAACAGGAAGCCAACTAGAGGGGGGACAGTTTATGTTAATAACTGTGCTCCACATGTAGAAACAGGACACTAGTCTATGTAACATGCATTAGTACAGTGGACCCTCGACTTACGAAGGTCCCTACATAGGGAAATTTCAAGGTATGAAAAGCTCCGGCCGCAAAATTTTAGTTCAATTTGCAGCCGGAGCTTTGACCTACGAAAGGTGGGGCAAAGGGTGGGAAATTCAAAGCAGCCCCCGCTGCCCTCTTGTGTCCTGTCCCCGGTGCCCTCTGCCTCCTGTCCACAGAAGGCACCAGGGACAGGAGACAAGAGGGCAGTGGGGGTAGCTTTCTAAGCCTGAAAGCTGACAGCAGGCGCAGACGACAGCTGGTCCGCGGGGATGGGAGGCAGAGGACAGCGGGGACAGAAGGCAGCGGGCAGTGGGTGCAACTTTGGAAGCCCAGGATTTTTTTCTTTGGCTGGAACAGATTAAATGGTTTTCAATGCATTCCTATGGGAAATGGACCCTCCACCTATGGAATTTTCGACCTGCGGCCACCGTTCCAATACAGATGAATTCCGTAAGTCGAGGGTCCACTGTATTTAATCATCTTCTTCCAACTGATTAAAGAAGGAATATCTAGATACCTGTGGTGTTAACTACAGTCATATGCATCAACCGGGTCTTCCTACCCAAATAATCAGTACCTAGCTGTACAAGGATTGTAGAAAGTGAAGGATAGGAGAACTCCCCCAAATATTCCAACTACCCTGAGAATCTGCTACAGCGCATCAGCTCTGGGTTAAAGTCTTAGGTTTTTGCTTATTTTCCAGTTTATTTGTCAACACTATTTCCACACTGCTTTTATTTTGTTTTACATGTTCTTACTAAGAAAAAGTGTGAACATAAGTCTTATTTTTTAATGTTATTCTATGATGTGAAAATAGCAATTGTAATCTAAACTGTGTTTACTATGTACTATATATGTTACATTTTATTTAAGATCTAAACAGCTCAGCAAGTATTAAGCCATGTTTTTGTCAAAAACAGCAAAACTGCCCAGAAAATTGAATGCAATTCTGAATTCATCATTTTTGTCAGACTAAAAATGATGAATTCAGAACTACCAAATTATTTGCACTCATTTCACTATCCTATTAATGACCTCATTTCCATTATTTTATTAAAATGGTCTAGAGAGTAAGTTGGCAAAATTAAAGGAGGAAAACAAAAAAATAACTGTGCAACTCTAAAGACTAACAGATTTGTTTCAGTATGAACTTTCGTGGATCAAAATCCACTTCTTCAGACACAAGCAGTGCAAATACATGTCTTCCACATTCATACATATCCCTGTGATAGATAAAGTAAATTCTAAACTAAGTTGGCGTAAAGGACTGGTGGTGAGGAAATGAGGTTTCCGGTCCTGATCATCTACGATTACAAACACAATCTTCATCATATTTTCTCATAATTAAGCTGGAATATATTCAGTGGGACTTATTCCAGGAAAAGTATATGTAAGATGGCACTTGAATTCTACCACATTGGGCTGTACGGCTTATAACAAAACTTACTCTTCAATATGAAAATGTGAACAAGAGACTACATCAGTGGTTCTTAACCTTTTTGAAAGCTGCGCCCCCTTGAGCCATTGAGGAAGTTATTATCGCCCCCCTCCCCGCAGAGATATCTTATTTATTTATTTATTTATTACTTACTTACTTACTTACTTACTTACTTACTTACTTACTTACTTACTTACTTACTTAAAGACACTTAAATCCAATGACCCCTGAAAACAAAATTGAATTCCAAGAAAATGAAATGCCCCCCAAAAGTAACATTTAATGATTTAGTTGCAAGTGAATTTTAAGACACAAAAAGAAATATAAAAAGGGCATAAAAACAAACCACAATGCAGGAACTAAAAATTTCAAAATGAAAACTCTGAAACTAAATTAAGATTGGAGGAAAATATATATTCATGCACATTGTAAAAAGGCTGCAGCCATCTTCACAGGTTTGGCTTGCTCCAGCACCCCCCTACCACCCACCTTCTGCTCCAGCGCCCCCACACTGCCCCTTTTCGTTTTACCGCCCCCCTGAAAAATGAAATCACCCCCTGGGGGGCATTATCGCCCATGTTAAGAACCACTGGACTACATGACCACCTCACGGGATGGGTTCTGTGAATTTTTTCCTCATCTTTGAAGTACTGAAATTTGTTAACTATGGTTTCATTCCTGCCAGTCATATGAAAAGTATACAGTCAAGTTTCATTTCACTTTTATGAACACTGAAGTTATAAGACTACAAGTACAATACAGGAGGACTGCAGTATGCGCAGGGGATCAGTTCCAAATCCCTCCCCCCCATGGATGTCAAAATCTGCGGATATGTAATCTCTCTGTACAGCAGTCTATGGTTCCCTCTAGTTGCCAGTTCTGTAATAGACTGTAATGGAAACGTATTTCTGGGTTTTTTATTTAATATTTTCAGGCAGCAGATAATTGAAACCATAGATACGTTGGTCCTACTGTACAACTTAACAGCTGACCTGGGCTGTCACGAGGACATGAAAGATACAAACACCACCCCCAAAAATCCTTTAGAAGTCATACAATCAAACTACATGTATAGTAAAAATCAGGGAGTAGAACATGTGGAAGGCAGCACTTTAAAATACAATAGTGTGTGCATATTTTAATATCTCACGCATGTGGAGAATGGCACATCTGTAGAGAGTTACAATATCAAGCAAAGGGGCCCAAAGCTCTCTCCAATATACTAAAATATCTTTAAAAACATTGAGAACAGAAAAATAATCTTTGGAGTAAAGTGTTATGAAACACATCTACCACCATACTGGAGGCAGAACAAGACAAACGTGAACAAGCTCTTTTACCCTACTGCAAAAGTTCAACTACATTGTGCCATCTAGGTATGCAGAAATCCAAATACTTATATCTAATTGTGTTGTTCTATTCACAGAAGCCTTTTTTTAAATCCAGCAGTGTTTTCTGAGCAGAATGGAAGGAGCACAGTTTCCACAGTTTCACAATTTTGCTTGCCAACAGCCCCCCTCTGTAACTTTCCATGTGCCCAATGTTATTTTGGACAAGATTGCGGCATGCAGAGGAAGGGGGAAATCCACAGAAGCTCACTACCTCACATTCCCAGAAGGCTTTATAGACCAAAAAAGTATTTTATCAACAGGACAGAACAACTGGATGCTTTACAATGGTTTGTACTATTTTGTATACAAAGTTTACAGACAGATATGTATTTGTGTTACATGACATCATACGCTTGTTGTAAGAACTAAATATCAAAAGCATTGTCGGTCACAACTGGAAGCTTACCTGCTGTACAGGTTATCCCAGATATTCTGAGGTACCATTATCACCAGGTCCTCTATAGAAGCAGCCTTATGTGGAGTAACTCCTGTGGAAATGAATTGGGTTTTTCTGAATATTTTTCTAAATGATTAAGGTCAATGCTGTAGAAAATGAATGAACTTAGCTTCAGAACACAGATGAAAACAACAAATGATTCACTTCTGTGTAAAGCACTTTTTAACAAGCTGAGTAGTTCAAGTTAACAGAAAAAATATATACTGTACGTAGATTATATTTTTCCTTTGGAAATTAATAGAGACAGGAACTTGAAATACAACTATTTCATTAATTAGTACATAAGGGTTTTCCCTTTATCTTAGTTTGTACAAAAGGCATAAGATTTCAAAACACACACACACAATAATTCCAACTGGTTGCTTAGATTCAATATGCCCATCACAAGAGTGAGTCAGAAACTGCATATCTTTTCCAGCCCCAGTTTCTATTACTTCTAAAAGGTCCCCCACAGATTCCCCCTCCCTCACAATCTTTGGATGTGATGTAAGTATACATCTTTAACAAAGAACTAGCAAACAAAAAATGCTTGTTTATGAAGTAAGAATCCTCATGCTATTTTCTGTCCAAGTCAGACAATTTACTCAAGATATGGTCCATTCGCAAGCCTTGTACTTCTAATGAAAACCTGCAGAATTTGTATTTTTATTGGGATTACTCTGATCGATTCCATTCCTCTTAATTTAGAATGAAGTTAAGTTCTACCACATAATGTCTGTGAGAAAAAGCTTTCAACAAATTTAATAGTTTTAAACTGCATTTCTTTTGAGAATACACTTGCTAATATTGCTGTTCCTTAACATTCAGCAGGGATGATAAATTAACAACAAAAGAGAATGTGGGAAAAGACTTGTGGATTAAAATCAAGTCATTACTCCAATCAGTTAACTGGAGAACAAAAACATACATTGTGTTTTCCTCTTTTATTTACCCAGTCATGAAATGTATAATAATTAATGTATCCGAGTTAGTCCTAAAAGCAGTATCCAGCCAATGGATTCCTTGAAATGTTAAGGACTGAGCATAAATCAGTTTTACAAACTGATAAATTTTGGGTGATCCAGAATATTGCACTTATTATCATTAGAAACACTGTGTTTTGTCTTCAGGCTAAAATTAAATCTAGGAAATGATGATTTGTTTGTTGTATAGAGGCCAAGCTAGATAGGGAAAACTCCTGTGCCAAAAAAAGTATTCCATTTCAAACACAACATTGTTTTCCTAAACTAATAAGCTTTTTAAAAAGCCTACTTTAACAATAAGGGTTAACAAAAAACAATACTGTACAATAAAGTAGAAAGCCATTCCCCACCCCCCTGCAATATAACCTGAGATAACTGCAGAAATAATGCAGAATGATTCACTGACCCCTTCTACTTGATTGCTCACCACTTTAGACATAGAGACTGATGTAGCTATAGTCAGCTGTTCCATAATGTAGGCAAGGTAAATAAATGAGGAGAGGAACATGCCAAATTCATTTTTATAATCTCTATCCATGATGCTGAGCGACCGTGTGAAGAAGAGAGCCTCCTTTACATGTGGAGACACTTTATGAGAATAAGAATCTTGATTTTTATCCATGGAATGAGAGGGACACCAGAGGCGTGGAGCTAGTTAACTCCCCTGCTCAAATTTTTAATTACAAAATGCTGCACAGAGGCAGTATTTCTAGAGTTTTGCATTTGATCATCAAACCTTGCTGTTTGGTCTGTTCCTTTCTACTGTTGACAGAACTCGGAGAGAAGTCAGACTACAATACAGTGGTGTCTCGCATCACGACGTTAATTCATTCCAGCGAAATCGCTGTAGAACGAAAATGTCGTGATGCGATTTTTAAAAAGCCCTTAGAAATGCATTAAAAACAGATTAATGCGTTCCTAGGGGCTTCAAACTGCCCATCCAGTGAAGATCCTCCATAGCGTGGCCATTTTCGATGCCTGTGCAGCGAGGAATCCGTGCGAAAACACAGCGGGTGGCCATTTTGTTTACCCGGTGGCCATTTTGAAACCACCAATCAGCTGTTAAAAAATCATCGCTTTGCGATGATCGGTTCCCTGCTTCGGGAACCGATCATCGCAAAGCAAAATTCCCCCCATAGGGAACATTGTTTTGCCATCACAAAAAGTTCGTCGTGATGTGATTTCGTCGTCAAATGGAGCACCCGTCTTACAGGGCACAACTGTACCAAGTAGGAAGATACCAAGTTATCACATTACATGATCAAATCTTTAAGTCATTAGACAGATATTAAACTCTGTTGGATGGTTAAGAGTGGAATACGGCTACCAAGGAGGCCAATAGAGTAGGCCCATGGAATCAGTGGAGATCTAGTGAGTCAACTCCTCTGTAAGTTCCATTGATTCAATGGGCTTACTCTAGCCTAAGTACACTAAGCAACAGGATTTCGGCCCTCATTTCAAGGGAACAAAAATGAGCTTTTATCTTCAGTTCACAGATTTGCATAGTTGTGCTCTCACCTCCATGTAGGCAGAGGAAGTCATTATTTGAAATAGGTCCAGGCTCTGCAAAAGTTCTGAATTTATTCAGCCATGGTCGGGATATATAAAATTGGAGCAGGCTTGGTTCCATCACATTAAGACTTGATAACCTCTGCTTCTCTTTTTTAGCTTCTTCGTTGCTTTTTCTGTTGAAAGGAGGCAAAATGTATTTTCTCAAACCTGTTGAAAACTACTTCTCGTAATCACTTTTCACATATGACGCATGCAATTAAAAGTGCCATGCACAACCCATTAATTCTTCAATATTGTTCCCCATAGCTGTGAACTATTGATTTTAATTTTAAAATGTCTAATTGAATAAAATACACGCACACACCAGATTACTGTTATAGCACATTAGAAAATATTTCAAATTTATAAAGATAAGAGTGTGATTCAAAGTCTAATGTGCTCTAAGGAGACAATGCGTAGGAGAGCCTGCAAATCTATATAGTTAAGAAACATTGACTTTCAAATGGGGGGGGGAGATCTGCCCCATCCCTAGAACATGAACACAGTCCAAAAATAGAGCAAGAGCAAGGAGAATTTCATAATGAATAGATATTTATATATTTTTTTAAAATACTAATTTTTTTCATTTCAATTTTCTTGTCTCATTCACAGACCTTGTTTCCTCTTAAGACAGTGGGGGTTTTTCTCCTCCTGACCTAGTTTGCATTTCAAGAAAGACTCAGCCATACCAGCTGATAAACATTCAAACTACTACAGCGAAATTCCTTGTTCTCCAGCTCCCAGCTGCTGAGCTGCCAACAGTTCATTTTGTTGCAATGGCATTTTATCTGATTCTACAATGCTGTCTACATACACATTCTCCTATGAATTCAAATGAGGAAACAACATTTATCAGTACACAGAAATCTAGGCATAGTGCTCAAGCTTGTGGAAATAACCTAGATTGGGCCTTTTGTTCCCCTCCATATAAACTGCTACAATACATTAGAAATTAATTGGATCATCATACTTAAACATTCATATATTTCAGCCACTTCAGCTTACCTTCTAATTTTACAAACACACCACTATCAATGTCTTCACCACCCCAGCTAACAAGATTATTACATTAGAATGAAATCTGCTATGTTTACCCTATATATAAAATTTCAAAGGAAACAAGATACACATTGAGGAAAAACACAGCTGTTTACTTTGGCAAGCATTCAGGTGATGGCAGTAGCTCAGTCAGTTACAAAAATGCACCATAAAAGAGTGAGGGAAAGCACGGAGCGCCCAGGGAAAAAAGCAGAAAAACCCAAGAACAAAAGGAAAAGACTAATTCCCACAGAATTGAAAGGATTCATGTCTTCTTTTTCCCCAGATAATTAAAACTCCAGCAATAAAGAGTTAGCAATAGAGATGGGGTATATGAATACGAATACCCCCACATGGACATAACGAGGGTCCAGTCTCCTGAGGTCAGAGTGTCCACTCACCTCCCGCTGCTGCTGCTGCTGTCTACAAGCTCCCTTCCTATCACTCCGGAGCACCCGGCTAGCGAGCTACTCTTCAGCCTGGCAGGGAGGCTTGTTGACCTGCCTCTTGCCAGGAGTGGCTAGTTGACCACAAGCTCTGGAGCGATAGGAAGGGGAGTGCAGTGTCCGCAGCAGCAGGGGAAGATGAGTGGACAATCTGGCCCCAGAGGGCTGGACCCTCATTATGTCCACTTGTGCAGGGGTATCGGGGGTATCCGTATACGAATACCCCCACATTGAGTTAGCAACAAGGCAATTCTCTTCTAGTGACAGGCAGAAAAAATTTTTGGCAGGGAAGAAAAAACTGACAAAAGAACATCTGCTAAATAGAATCCTGTTCAAGGGATGCCTCCATTCACTGGAAAAGACAAAATCTTGATACAACCCATTACTGCCTGAACCATACCCAGGTTTTCTCACCTGTAGAATAGAACATATGCTTCTGCATTTTGAACAGTCGATTCAGTTACTTCTGTGACACTCTGATCATCAAACTCATACCATCGATTATTTAGGTTGTTCCGACAATAGGCTATATAATGTCCATCTAAATTCAAGAACAATTAGAGAGTTTTCAGTGTAAGAACTGCAAAGAAAGTAGCCCTTCAAGGTTGCATCAACTGCATAGTCCAAAAGGTGACAATAAATGCACTCTGAAAGAAAATGCAATCTACTTACTGATGGCAGTTCCATGATGGCAGATGACTGATAAGAGATCATAGACCACTATCTGAGCTGGGCTGTCCTTAGCAAGAAAAGGCTGAAGGTCAAGTCCTTCCAAGGGAAATGACACATGAGTCCCAATTTTTGTGGAAAACATAAGGTCATGCCTGAACCTTTTGAGATGAATACACAAAATCTGAAAAGAAGATTCAGACATTTGATGGTCACCTCTTATTTTGGTATAAAGCTATCAGGTAGTAATGTAACACTAGTATTTTATTAAATTGGTTATGTCCCAGTTCCACCTTTTTCATTAAACAAAACATGCAGCAGTATCTGATCCTAATGGTGCCCATTACTGAGCGAACATTTTCTGACATATTTATTAATTGTACTGTGGTGCTTCTCACACAAATAAAGATGTTATAAAAAACAAGGTTAAATCAGACCTTTTACAAAAGCTCTGATTTTCTGGGAATGTTGAGGGGGCCCTGGCTATGACATCATTATCCCCCCCAAGCAGATCTTGCTCCGTGTCCCCCTGCCACTAATTTACCTTTTTTTCTTCATTTTTGCTTTAACCTGCCAGAACTTTCCTTTTTCTGCTTTCCCTCTAGACTCTTCCTCATCTCTATCCCCTGCCAAAGCTCCCTTTCCTTTTACCATCAGGCCGTGTTGTCTGTCTCCTAACTTTCTCTGCTTTAACTTTAACCAAAGGTGATAAGTACTGCAAAGGACGCTGCAGCCACCCCGGCCATTTCTCCAACGCACCTTTGGATTCTCTTCAGTCCATCTAGAAGCGCTTCAAGAAGTTGGACGTGACAGCAGTTTCTTCTACAATGCTCTTCCTTTTCTTTAAAGCTGAACCAAGATTCGGAAGGAACAGCTAGAAATGCCACACAGCCTGGAGCCCTCTCAATGTGGTTGCCCCACATGATGATATTTTTTAAAGAACACCACTCAGCAACAAACCCTCCCTGTGGCTGGCTGGTTCACGCATGCACTCTTTCCCTCTCCTCTTTCGCCTTCTCTCCCTACCTTGGTGTTTCCCTTAGCTGTAGGCCGAGTGGCATTTTTTGCTTGTCTCTCCTCAACATTCAGAGAAAATTGAGTTCAACAGTGAGACAACAATACACTTCTCTTATTTTAGGTCAGTGGTTCCCAGCCTTGGGTCCCCAGCTGTTCTTGGACTACAACTCCCAGAAATCCTGGCCAGCACAGCTAAAGGGGAAGGCTTCTGGGAATTTTAGTCCAAGAACACCTGGGGACCCAAGGTGGGGAACCATTATTTTGGGTGATTCCCATTTTTAAAAAAAAAAATCTTACTGTGTTATATGACTGGGATTCAAGTATATTCCAGGAAGTATGATCACATTGATCATTTATGCAAAATCAGCAATTGCCTACAATGTATAAATTTGTAGAATAAGTTAAAATATGGTACCTCAGGAAAATGTTGAACTTTGCAGAACTTTACTCCATTTCTTAACCTAAAGTAAACATTTAGTAAAGCTGTAAAATGATCTACATCTTAACTATTTCAGGAATGACAGAAAATAAGGTGGCTTAATCTTTAAAATGAGTCATGGTCTCAGAAAAGATTCATTAAGTGTAGCTCTATCATGCACAAAAAATATCCACAGACTACTTTTTCATACGCTATATAAACAGTCAGTTCCTATTATCATATGCAATTTATAAAAACAATTCCTTTTATGCAACCAGAGCACTCAGTGCATAAGGGATAGCTCAGTAGTTTAGATATCTGGTTGTGGAGCCAGAGGTTGGGACTTCAATTCCTCACCATGCTTCCTTGACAGGGGTTGGACCTGATGATCCATAGGCTCCACAGTTCTAAAATGATGATGATAATGTAGCATAAGCTTTCTACTTTTTAATTATCATAACAGTTGGCAGTGGACATTTACCCTCAAGCATGTAGAATATAGCTAAAGACTAAGGTGTCACAATGCATCTTCCACTAATCTCTCTATACCAAGACAACCATATGAAATGGCACTTTTTCCAATCCTCCTGCAACCACTTTTGAAAGGAAACAAGCTAACAGGATCATGTCTGACCATACTGAGAGTGAAAATACACTTCTCAACAATTCTTGATTGGTACCTAAAAGTAACTAGTTTATATAGAAAAGCCTGGCTAATTTGTTCTGCTGAATGTTCCTAACCCAGCTGCGGTCCTCTCCCCAAACTACCTCAAAAGATATTCCAGAGAGATCCTAGTTTTCAACAATAGATGTTTAAGTAGACCAAGACACTGCAGCAGAAGGGTGAAAACTTTCCATTTGTTGACTATAATTCTGGTTTCAAACCAAAATTAATCTAGAGACTGCTGCACAAAATCATTTGACATCCCAAGCATGACCAAAATCAAAATAGCTTTGCCAATATTTGCTTCAGGCTGCATGTAACCTCTTTCCCTACGTGGAATACTATACAGTGGTGCCTCGCATAACGAGCGCACCATTTAACAACGAATTCGCATAGCGACGTGTTTTTTGCGATCGCGAATGCGATCACATTGCGATGATCTAAATGGCCGAAAATCGCATTGTGATGATCGGTAAGCGTTTCACTTCCCTATCTTCGCATTGCAATGTTTTTTTAAACAGCTGATCGGCGGTTCCAAAATGGCCGCCGGGTGCACAAAATGGCCACCCGCAGCGTTTTCGCATGCTGCCCTCGCTTACCGAGGCGGCGAAAATGGTGGCGCTATGGAGGATCTTCGCTCAACGGTGAGTTTTCCCCCCATAGGAATGCATTAAATTCCATTTAATGCGTTCCTACGGGGTTTTTCTTTCCGTTTAGCGACGATTCCTGATAGCGACGTTAATCCTGGAACGGATTAACGTCACTATGCGGGGCACCACTGCACTTGAGTGCCCATCCAAAAAAACCTTCATGAATGTGGGGGTTGACTACTGGCAGGTACAAAAATTTCTTGTCTGTACCCAAATAACCTTGTGCTTCTTTGAATCCCAGATTATCAATGCATGTGGCTAGAAATTTCAGAAGTATGGAAGCGGAACATAAGACAAATACTTAAAAGATACACAACTAAGAAAGACACTATGATTATCACATACTAGCCGAAGAATTGAAGTATTCAGCCACCTCACTTATATCCTTCTGCCTACAAATCAACCACTTACACAAAAACGTCAAGGAATTATCTTCTTGTCTTAAGAGAAGTTGCAGTAGCCCCCTAGTGAGCACATAAAAGGAAAGCTCAAACTGTTTGTGTGCCAGGCAAATTACTGCACACACAAAGACTGGTGTTCCCCTATTACTAAGTCATCCTAGCTACATAGTTCTGTGTCTTATTTGTGGGAAGGGCTACTGAATGACATCCGTTCTCAAGGTGCTCACCTTTGGGAAGCATATGCAAAAGAGAGCAGGGTTTTGCTGCCTACATGCACATTTCTGATTTGCTTCCAAGGTGGTTCCCAGGAGATCATTTCTGTTTGTTAGAGGCATGTAGTAACATGTAAACCTACCATATTGGAACACCTCCATCCCACACAACTTCACTCCAATAGAGGCCCCAGTTATTTAAAGCAATTTAGTTTGAAACAAGCTGGCTTATGCTCAGAACATATGTTTAGAACTACTTTTCAGCCACAATGAAAAAGAATATGTACAAAATAAATTCACATACAAAAAAGACAACATTCATAATAATCTCATTGTTTGCTGCAGAAAGGTAAAATCCCCCTTCACATTATGTTAATTGCAATAGCTTTAAAGTAAATCCATAAAGATTTCAAGATGACTTACTTTTTACACTTTTCACAACTGTACATGTTGTCACCTGCAGATGTAATAAGGAGGAAAGCATAATCATTATTCCTAGAACATGAAAACATAAACCCTCCCCTGACAGGTTCAGATAGCCGGCTCACATAGCCAAGTCAAGCTTGACTCAGCCTTTCATCTTCACCAGGCCAATAAAATGAGCACCCAGCTTGCTGGGGAGGTGGTAAAGTTTCCCTGCTTAATTATGTTGTAAGTCGCCCAGAGACCTCTGGGTAGAGTGGGCGGCATATAAATTAAAGAAACAAACAAACAAACAAACCACCCAGAGTGTGCCCTAGTACTATGAGGCAGGATATTAAGTCAAAACAACAACAACAATTGTTATCTTTTTGAAATAAGAGCATAGTATCCTCAATTTAAGGTGATTATCTGGACCAACCAATTTCTAACAACATCATGGAAGCACATTACAAGCTGTTTCTGATACCTTTATATGTGAAAATAGGTACAGTGGTGCCTCGCTTAATGAGCGCACCATTTAACGACGAATCCGCATAGCGACGCGTTTTTTGCGATCGCTTTTGCGATCGCATCGCGATGTTTTAGATAGGGAGAACATTGCTTTGCGATGATCGGTAGGCGTTTCGCTTACCAATTTCCGCATAGCAATGTTTTAAAAACAGCTGATCGGTGGTTCCAAAATGGCCGCCGGAAGAAAAAAATGGCCACCCGCAGCATTTTCACGCCCTGTCCTCGCTTACCGGGCAGCAAAAATGGCGGCCGGATGGAGGATTTCCGCATAGCGGTGAGTTCCCCCCCATAGGAACACATTAACCATGTTTTAATGTGTTCCTATGGGGTTTTCCCCCTCGCATAGCGACGAATCCGGATAGTGACGATTTTTTCCGCACGGATTATCGTCGCTATGCGGGGCACCACTGTACACAAAGTAACATAAATATGGCAGCCAAATCATAGTGAATTTACTATTTCTAATGTTCTATTAAATATAAAAGAGTCTTACCTTTCAGTTCATCTCTAGCAAAAAAGGCAGCAAGGCAATCTTGCAAGGTTACTGTTGGACCCCAAAACCAGCTAGGAACACATGAGACAACAAACCTGAAATATCATTGACAAAAAAACTGCAAGTGTTCTGCCAGTACAGCAGAAACATAAATAAAATAAATCTAAATGTTCCAAAGGACCAACCTTTTGAAGTACTCAACAAAAAAGGCGATCCAGCCTTGAGGAGCATATGCTTCACCGCATGATCCTGCCTTGACAAGGGAGGTCTGATGATTTCCAGAATGCAACTTAGCAAGATCCTCTTTACCTGGAATAGGTAACGACAAGTCCTGGAAAGTCTCTAGGGTAACTGAAACCTATTGAAAAACATGAAAAGAAAGGTTATTGCCATATAATATAGCAATTATATAGATTATAATTACATATATTTAGCTGACTTCAAATAATGCTGCATTTCAATTTCCAGGAATATTACCAATAAACCCTACTTGCATCTAAGTATAGTGCTTTGCTTCAGGAGTACCACTAGGTGGCAAACATCACACAATTGTACATTCACTGTGAATGTGTACAGTATCAACAAGTGACTAGTACCCAAACAAATATTTATGCCTGTGTAAGTGCAATGGCATAATTCAGAATGGCCAATAGCTACTAATTAATGAGTCCCCAATCACATTCCTAGCTGAGTCACACAACTAGCACATTACTGGAATTAAATTGGTTCCTCATACCAAGTACGTACAGCTCCAAATTATATCATTGTGCTTATAGAAGGATAAATATTCAGTTGGAGTCAGACCATTGTCAATAGCTATTATGGAATCAAATTAAGTTCAATTAATTGCTTAAAACAAGAAATGAAACAGTTTAAGAATTTTAGGGAGTTTAATCTTGAGCAAGGATAATCCAAGAATTTTTGGCATGTTACAAAGAATGGTGATTATTAGTGATTATTATACTAATACTTTGTTTTTCTATGCAAGCAAAGAGAATGTCAGCATGAGATATGGGATTAGAATGTGTGCAAGCACACATGTACAATAGAGAGAAGTTTTCTTTTTACCGAACACTTACCCGATCACAAGTGAGACACTGTACTGAGCTTATAATTGTCCCATCGAATATATCAGAAATAACACTTCTGTATTTTTTGTGTTTCTTCTTTTTGGAGGAAGCCACAGCTGGAAGTATTACATAAAGGAAGAAAACTAACATCAGAAGGAAGTCAATGTATACGCAGCAACATTTCATTCTGTTTACACTGTTCTTCCTTGAATGCAAATATTACTAGGCTCTATCTTACCACTAGCACTACCAAACATGCAGAAGGTTAATTTTAAAAGTAAGACTCAATCAGCGTAACATTTACAACACAGCAGACAAGACTGAATTTTCACTTTATTACCAAATATTTTTTTATGCTGGCCAGGAAATGGGAACATTTTCAAACATATCTTCACAGGGCTTTGCAGGAACACACATAATACTAACTGGCACGTTATTTTTGGCCTAACACCACTGTGGTCCCTCACCAGAGATCAGCATTACAACTGCCAAATCTTCCAAAATAAATGAGCTTGAAGTGGTCACAGAACAAGCCCAACCTCACCCCACAAATCGGAACGTCCTCTACAGACTGACAACTATGGTACCCTATGGGCACTACCTCACTAGGGACAAAATGCTGACCTCCAGATGTCATTGGATTACAATTCCCAGCAACCCTAGCCAGGTTAACTGGGGGCAAGGAATGTGGGGAATTACAAACCAACAACAACAACAAGGATCACCTCTGCTTAAAGACTTTACTGAGTCTTTAAGGTTTTAACAGGCGACAAAGGCTTTGTCTACAAATGTGGCAGAATGGACTGCTTTGGAGAACGAGTAGGTGACATCATTTAGGAACACGAGGGAGAAAGATTCTGTCCTACTTCTCTCCTCACTAACCTAAGCTTTCTATATACAAGGGATATGTAGGGAAGCATTCAGAATTGATTCCAAGTGCAGTACTAGATAACTTCAGTTTTAGACCTTCATCCCCCACACCATATAACCCCTGGATATGGCTACATACAATCTCCACTTAATAGAAGATTATTGCAGAGAAACCACTAAACTGCTGTATCCCTTCGGACAGAATAATATTTGATAGAAGGAGGACTGTTTGACACTGGAAAGGCAGAGGAGTAACATTTTCTCAGGAATTTTTTTGCAATCCTGCCTTAAACACCAGAAATACTCTCAGGATTCAGTCTAGGCACTGAATGCATTCTGCTGAAACAAAATTAAAACAAAGGACGAGGGGGGGGCGTGCATACACACTCACAGAGTGTTAATAAAAATAACTGGCTAAATGAACAAAATGCCCTTGGGAAATAACAGTGTGCTTTAAACTAAGCTGGCAAATTGATGCACTCCCCAAGGAGAAGCAGCTGAAAAATAAATACTGCAGTGCTTGGTCCCTAGATAAAAAAAAATTCTGCTCTTAATCTCAATTTATGTTAGCCCCCCCACACAAACAGTTTCACTGACTGGAAATAAGAAAAAGGCAATATACAGAAAATACCAGAAGAGTATTGTTTATTGAACCACACACAAGTTCTTCATGCACTGCCTTATCACGTTAAAATCTGACAGACATTGGACTTTATTAACATGACATGCAAAAATTACATACTGTACTAACACCAACAAGTATTGCAAACCAATGTCTACTATGAAAAGATGGATATAGGGGGAATAAATGAAAAACAAGAAGCAATGAAGAACATCAGAAATGAAACTATAAACTAAGGGAACATTGTACCTTTTTTGTGCGAAGGGGCCAGTCCAGACCAGAGAGAACCTGACTTGAGAGGACTGGTTGAAAAACGTGCATTACTTCCATCCTTTGAAGGAAAACTTTGCGATACAGACACATCACTCATATGGATATCATTGACAGACTCTGTAAAACATGCATTCACCGTAAAACCAAGCGGCCTAAATAGTAAGACGTGTTGTATTTTACCTGAGTATATATTAATAACTTAAAGTGAAGAGAATGGAGCATAAAACACTGATATCAAAAAACAGTCCAGTCTGATAGAGGTGCAAGAAAGAAGTGGCCAACAGCTGGTTAGCATCCTTCAGAACATACTGGGACAAGAAAAGCTTTATAAATGTGAAGTTGTGAAAATCCATCCTTTACTACTTCTGAGAAATCCATCATTCAGTATAATCATTTTTTCCCCACATTCTGACAAGAGCAGCAATTTCCATAGCGTATGAAGTCAGTTACTGGAGAAAAGTAGCCTAACATCCTTTACTCTTTGCATAGAGAAAATATGTGTTCTGGTATAAAAACAATATAGGAGTGACTAAACATCTAAACATTACCCTCTAAAATGCTAGCACAGAAGCCGTTGCTGGGCTGGATTTGGAATAAATCATATTTAGAAAACTTCCATTGCCATTAATAGAATTTGTCAATAATGGCCAATTTAAGTTATCCGGTCACACATCTCTGTGTGCACAACAGTCATGATGGCACCATCAGTGGAAAATCACCACTGATTAACTGTGATCCAGATGCATATGACTCACACACAAAGCAACAAAGTCGCCTGAACCCCAAAACTGCCCCAAAGCAGCTTTTAATCAGTGACAAATTGACCCTGCTGACGACATCACCACTGCACGCGCAGAGCAGCACATAAGGATCTCAGACAACAGATACTAGTTTACAACTAAAGTACAATTACATTGAGCCTATTATTATTATTATTATTATTATTATTATTATTATTATTATTATTATTATTATT